AAGGCTATCTGTATTTTAGACACAGCTTTACGGAACAAGGATCTTGTGCTCAGGTTGAACCACGTCCGGAGATTCTTAAGCCACGAAGTACGCCATGTTCCAGGTAGTAGCTATCTCTGTATCTTCCCTTGCATAATTAGTCGGAGTAGATCGTATTTATCATTTCGCATTATATGACTAAAGTACTGTACTTTTCGTTTTTTGACAGTACTCAAGACCTCTAATTACTTATTCATCATCTGCAATACTCTTTCATTGGACACTATCCTTCCACGATGTTTTTTAAAATTCTTCTGTAGACCCACATTTCTAAGGCTTCTAAGTGGTTGCTCATATTTTGAGTTAAGGCCCAGGACTCTACGCCATACAGAAGAACCGAAAACATGCAGCAACCTGCCAAACGCACCCTGGTAGAGATCTTCAAGGTTCGATTGCAGAGTAGATGACTCGACTTTAGAAATGCGTTACGTGCTTGTTCTATCTGACATTTGATCTCTACGCTATGATCACATTGGTCGTTTACGATGCAGCCAAGGTATTTGTAAGAATGGACTCTTTGGACTACTTGATTTCTTACAACCAGATCTTTTGTTGTCAGATGTTGTGATCGGCCAACTATCATGATCTTCGTCTTTTTAAGTTTATGCTGAGACCGTAACTTGCACTAATGCTATCAACACGCCGAAGCAAATTCTGCAAATCATTAAAATTTGACGCCAGTAATAACGTATCGTCAGCATATCGTATGTTGTTCAGCGCGTGGCCATTTACTAAGATGCCTTCCTCAGCGTTTTCTAAGGCTTCTGCAAATATCGCTTCCGCATATATATTAAATAGCAGTGAGGACAGTACTATACATCCTTGCCTGACTGACGTTAGAGTACATTATTGCAGAGGTTGGGAAGTAAGGGATTGCTCGACGAGTATGCGAGTGAAGCAATTCCCGTTCCCGCCGAGGCATGTATAGAATTTTTCTCAAACAGTGTGAGTAATTAATAAAATACTAAAGAGAGGAAGATGTTTATTAAAAAAGTAAAAAATATATTAAAATTAATATTTGGCGAACTTCTGATGATGTGTTTGAATCTGTATCTATCACTATATTTTCTTAATCATTCTTCTCACTAACACTCATTTTCGCGACCAAATTACAAAAAATACGAATAAACAAAAGAATTCCAAAATACTTTTAAGTGTTGCCATTTTCTTTTTTTTAAGTAAGCGGTAATTATTATGTAGGCTGTACGAGTTTTTCTTTTGCCTGTTTACATAGTTCATTATTAGCAGGTAGATTAAAAATGTAATATAATGTGATGTGTGTGTATGAATCGCTAGAGTCGCGATGCAATCGCGCCGTGTGTATCCACTCTAAAAGACACTATGTTGTTGGAAGGAGTCTACTGCTAAATAAAAACAAACGTATTATAATATCAAAATTTATTGAAACCTAATATTTTTTTTTTAATAACAGCAAAATCTAATCATATTAATGTTCGACCTGTCTTATGAAAATTTAAAAAAACTTCCATTAGCTTATTCGATGGCAATGATGCACATAATTATTTTTATGAAGTTTTAGTCGACTTCTGTAAATTCAAGACTTAATACAATGATATTTGAGATCAATACCTAAAAATATGATAAAATTATTTAAGAAATATATTATGTAACATAATTGTAAGTCAATGTATGTAACTTAGAGATCAACGACGTAAAATGCTTAAGTCAAAGCAAAACAAACAAATTTGTACACAAATGTACCTACACTAGCTGTACACTTGTACACAAGTGTACACTAACACGCCTATAACAGGCAAGTTTGGAGTAACCATATGTATACCCGTTACCAAGTACAAGTATGTAGTATATCTTGGTTATAACATAATAATAAAAATGAGTTAACAATGTAACTTAGTCAAAGTATAAAATGCTACATAAAGTAGTCAAAAAGCGACAATTATGACTGGTACAATGAATACAATAAGGTTGTAAATAAATGAGATAGCATTATTTGTTATGTCTAAACGGTATTATCTACATGGATAATGTCCTTTATGTATTGGAAAACTTAAAGGAAATTATCCAACTATAATAAGTCACATTTTAGTGTCATTTGACACGTCATTCGAGCCACCTTGCATTTATATTCTTAACCCATCACGCACACACATCATGAGACACACGGTCTTCTCAACTATTTTGGTATACTTTTTTTATAAATTTGAAATTTTGTAAAAAACGTTGTGAAAGTGTAGTAATGAAAATGCAGCTGCGCGTTAAAGTTACCCTGTGTGACAGGATGTGTGACGGTTTACAGGGCTAATACAAATAATAAATACAACAAATATTGTTACCATTGAACAAAATGTTTTCCCCGACTTTACAAATTCAAATTTTCAACAGAGGCTTAGAGTGAATTGTATATGATTTCTATATAATTTTTCAGGGGGCCTACTATGAGCTTATAACCAGCCAGTCAAGTTCCATGCGATTCACTTGACGTAGTAAAACTGATTTGCCTAAATTCGTATCATGACCTATACACAAAGTTGAACGGGAATGGTACGGCAGGATGATGAATTTTACTTTTTAAACGTTAATTATTGTCTCTGGCTGGCAAGCTGACATCCAACAAGAGCGAGATGGAACTACATACTAAATCATATGAAAGAAATAGACAGATGGACTATCCTGGGAGCGTTCAAGCACTATTAACCGATTGTGTTCAAAATGAGAATAAATATATTGTTTTATTAATTTTATTATTATTTATACTCATTGCGTTGTTTTTGTAATATCGGCAACTTTTCAATCATACTTTACAATTTGTCGTACGGCAAAGTTACAAGTCATGTTTAGTCATTATCGTTGAAATTAATAAAATGAGTTTGTAATTTGATAACATAATTGGAACGTATCTTGTATTCGTACATTTTCATTGATTGCAATTAATTATAGCCAAATTTGGCACTATTTAAAAGTTATTTTACGATTTTCATGAATACGATTAATAAAATGATTAAAATTCCTATTAAAAATTGCAATAACATTCATGCCAATAATTTATCAACAATACTTTAAAGATTGGAAACTCAAACTAAAATTTTCAAAAAACGCTCAATAGTTAATATATGTATAGTATTTATATAGCCTAAAAAGATAACAAATAATTATGAAACTGAAAATATAATAAAACTTAAATGAAATTTCTTAAAAATGTAACAAAATCTAAAAAGTTAGTCACGGAGTAACTTTTTTGAATTGCTTACTTTTACAGATGTGACCGCCACTTGCATGGCAAACAGCACGTCATGATACGATTTTGCTATGAAAGAAAAGGTGAACGGATTTAGAATGGGAACGTAAACTGCATGGACAGTGAATTGTTTTTGTGAGGTCATAGTACGAATTTGACAGACAATCCAACTTAAAGGCTTAAATAGGATTGCTCTAAGAGCTCATAGTAGGTCCCCTGGACGAAGATAAAAATGTGTAAAACATATTAAACACAATGTGTGTTATTAGCATTAGTAAAACTATACCTCTTAGATGCTATATTGCTATAATACATAATTGGATGCCGGAAAGGCAAAAAGGTCTACAAGCATTTGGAAAATATTACACGATAGCGAACTACAGTAATTTTTTTTAAAGCAAAAAAATCATACCTCTAATTTTATTTAAATTGTTATTGAATTGATATTCAATTATTTTTATGTGAAATTACTCCACTAGTTTGTTATAATTATTAATACAAAGGTCGAACACTCAGAAAAAATTCCTTCGATCTGGCCGGATTCGAACCGACGTCTTCTAGCATACCCTGCCAGACGCTATACCAACAAAACCACGGAAGGAACCAGCGGACTCACGAATTTGTCTACGTGTTTGTTGTCGTGTCTTTGTATTTGGTTTTTTCAACGACTATTTAGCCGTAGCGCCATCTATGAGAAATCTTAAGTATTTCATCACCCAGTTAGATACCAGGAACCAGCCCTGCCTAGAGATGTCGCTATTCGTTGTATTGAAATTTTTATTGAATTGATATTAAAATATTTTTTATGTGACAATACTCCACTAGTTTGTTATAGTTATTCTTATTCTTATTCTCTAATTATCTTATTCTCATTCTCATTCTTATTCTCATTCTTATTCTAGTTCTTATTCTTATTCTTATATTATATTAGTTCGTTCCGTGGCTTAGTTGGTATAGCGTCTGGCACGGTATGCTAGAAGACGTCGGTTCGAATCCGGCCGGATTGAAGGATTTTTTCTGAGTGTTCGATCTTTGTATTAATAATTCTAATTTTATTTGTTAGATGGAAAGCTATAAAGTTTCAGACGCATAATGCGAATGAATCTTCATAATTGACATTGTTTTTTGTTATCGTGGTTTGTTCCTTATTTGACTGTAATTATTTCGGACGGATGTCGGACGCAGAATGGAAGTAGGCCCCTGTTTTCATTTCAAGCTTAATTAATTATAATTATAAAGAAGGATTTCAATTGCGCCAATACAGTATAATTGGATACAACAAATCGACGCCTTGCTTTCTCAAACTCGTATCTTATAA